TTTTTTAATGTCAACTTTCATCTACACAGATTTGTTGTCAAGTAATACTGAAACTTCAACCATTTGCTGAATGATCAGAAATTAAGCTACAATATGCATCTCACATTATATCAAAAACATTCGAAGCAGCTTAAGAGAGGCAGACAAGTATAGTTGCAGATTTCAAACTTAATTTCAAAATCAGTATTTTCCGCACGTTGAACAAGAAACACTTTGCTTGAGTGTATAAACATAAAAGCGCAATTCTTAAACAATGAGTATTGTACTAATCAGAGAAAATAAGAAAAGGAGCTAAGATAAAAGTCGCTTCTTATATTGAGTTTAAAATCAAATGTTTTGCAAATTTGTCTGATCGGTTCTCTTAAAATATTTTTATTGAGCTTTTCAGCATAAGAGTAAGATTTTTAGCCTTAACTTTTAAGTTGGCGATACTACGCAACTAAAAACATTTATTTATTAAAATTAATATAATACAAATTACAAAATAACAGTACATTGCTGACGAAGGCTAAAACAAAAAGTTTTGAGAAATGCACGTTAAAAGATAATAAGATTGATCATGATCGTAGCAATCAAATGATAAAAAAAACTTTCTTAGTATTAAAGAACGCTTTTAAAAATTTACAAAATAATCGCAGATAGAGATACGGCAATTTGAAAGAAATCATCGGTATTATTGGCATGATATCATTATGGCACGTGTAATTACTATTCAGTGACAAGTTACAACAATTACAGTTTTATTTTTCCGCTATATAGACATACTTATTACTAGTCAAGAAATCGCTTTCTCGACGCTATACACATTCAACGTTCATATTAGCCCGTCTTTGACCCGCTTACAATTATACAAGAATTTAATAACCATCGCCTCCATTGCACTTTCCCATTTTCACAATATAAATGCACCTTAAACGTATTCATGATATATATACAATAGCTGCACTCTGGAGAATCCTCTTTTACACGCCTGTTATTTTTCTAATGTGTCGAATTTATTGGTGAGGTAACGAACTCGTCTTTTTTTCTTATCTACTTCTTAAAAAAAAGATCTAGTTTCCGGCCACTTGTAAGTGATTGGTTCCTAATTTTTCATAGCAATGAAAATAAAATTAAATGTTTCTGAACTTCATATGAAAAACTTATTTGTCTTATAGTGATTCTAAATAGCATTAGAAAATAAAAACATCGTTTTTTCTTTTTAAAAAATTTGAAAAAATTTTTTGACGTAAATTAATTTTATTGGTTTGTAATCAGAGAGAAGACTTCTCGGTATTTTTCTCACGTCCTTCATTTCGGGCTCAATACTAAAAAAGTAGTTTAAATGCAGAAGATTGTGCTTTATTGATTTAAATAGGTTGAAACTTATCGTCGCACTAATGCTAATCATGAATAAGGTGTGTTTAGAAAAAGTGTTTGCAGCTTAAAATCATTAATGCAAATCAAATTTATCACTACTCCAACCTTGAATGAGTCATAAAATTATTTTGCTGGTTCTATAATTTTGCTGCATGGTATCACTAGCCACATCTGTATAAAAGTAAATCTATCTTACGTTGGGTCTTTGAGCATTTCATTGAAAACTAGATCCTACATTACATTAGATACGTTTTTTTTCAAATAATAAAATTGATGTCAAACTGATTTTTAAAACTATTCCATTAATTATGCTTCAAAACTGTACTTTAAAAAGTAAGTACTTTAAAAAATTCCTGTTTTAAAATATATGACAAGATCTTTTACCTTTTGTCTAGTACAATTTATAAATAAATTATTTAAAGCAGACACGAAATTGCAGTAGTAATGGATTGTCTTCCGCTAAGCTAAGTTAAAAAAAAAGCAGTTGTATTCTACAACAAATGCCAGTTTTGATTTTATTGGATGGAAAAAATAGTCATCTCAAATTTTAAATGAGTGAATAATTTATTATTAAAACAAAAATCAATCACCGCTTTATGTGAAAATTTTTCAACTAAATTTTAAATCCGTATTGATTAAAGAGTTTAATATTAATTTAAGAATGTTTTAGATAAAAGTATTAGAGTCAAGAAAAAAAGTAAAAATATTTTTCATGCTAATATAAATTTATTAATTTCTTAATGGATTAAAATGTACGACGGGCTTCCAATCTTACTTTTGCGGATCATGTGGTATATCTCGTCAGCGGACATCGTATTTTCTTCAATTCACAAAGAACGAGGGACTATTTGGATTTAACTTAGTATGACCATACGTTTTCGTTTGTTACTTTATATTTTCATCTCTAAATAAGTTTTTTCAACTAATTTTTCGAGAACGCATTTTTTGATGCAGTTTTGTAATTTTCAGTGATGGAACATTAAAAAATTTTGACATCGTAAGAAAATTTTGTCAAGTTAAAACAAAATTATTGTTGAAAAGTGGATTTAATAAGCTGACTCTGAGATGGCATATTTGCTTTGAAAACACTTTTAACATGTGACTACGCCATTCAACCAGTAAGCAACCCTTGATACAATAAAACAGTTTATAGTATATTACACACCTAGTGAGCGAGGTTAAGAATGTAGCAGACTTCGCCCGAGTAAACGCTGACGTAAGTAAACGCCCGAGGCGAAGCCGAGGCTGGATAACGTGAAATCTAGAACATTTCTTAACCTCTGAACGTGGTGCGTATACTATTTTTCTGCATACTCTCGCCGAAAGGGGGGGGGTCCAAAATAACGACAGTTCACTTCAATTTTACAGTAAAACTATGAATGTTCATTTCAGCAACGTGTATTCCAACGACAATGATAGCTCAGTGCAGCGACTGTTCAGTATATCGACAGCCAATCACGAAGCTGTATAAGTAGAAAGTCAAAGTAAACTGCCTTGTGATGGGCTGCCAAAATAATGAGCAGTCGCTGCACTGAGCTATTATTGTCGTCGGAATACATGTCACGACGTCACTGAAATGAACATTCATAGTTTCACTGCAAAATTGAAGTGAACTGTCGTTATTTCGGACCCCCCCCCCTAAAAAAGGGCTGGTTATCTATTTTGGAGCAGGTCAGATATGAAGCACTTTCGGCGGGGTTATGCAGAAAAAACTTTTAAATCACTACGGAGCATTTCTCTCTGCATGTTTTGTGCACGAACCTTTAGTATTTGATTTAGAGTTAATTTTTTTTTAATTTTTCAAGTATAGTTTAAATTCCATTTTTTATTAATAATAATATTTATTTTTTATGTATCATAAAATTAAGAATATTTTTATCTCACTTTTTAACTTTTCCGCTGTAAATAAAACACGTGATTAGTTTAAACCCAGGAAGTCTTAATAAACAAGATTTATTACTTAAATCATCAATCATTGAAGAAAATAAAATACAATAACATAACGATTTAAGCTGACGAATTAAAATAGCATGGCTCTAACTTCCCAAATGCACAATAATGGTGTCTGCTAACAGGAAATAAATGATGTGTAATTATGAATTTCAGTAAATATGCTCGTCACTTTCTTTCCAATATCACTTAGACTAATTTGATCGATAAAATCAGTTAAACTATTAGAATTTTACTTCAAAATTTCAACCTAGAAAGAATATCGTTAGTTAACTTATTTCAATTCGACATACAATATACTGAAGGAAAAAAATGCTTTTGTGATATAACTACCATTTTTTTCTAAAGTTGTATTTAAAATTCAAAGTCCAGAATCGCAATTTTTTCAAAACTAGCAGTCCTTTTTATTATTTTAGGGCCCTGGTGAGATCTTTACTATTTTTTCCGTTTTTAAAATCTGATGTAATGGATTAAGTGCTCAAGAGTTTTTTTTCTAAAAGATTTTAATAGCTCATAAAGTTTCTCAAGTTTTATAGAAAGTGGACCTAAGTACTAGAGTAATGGCAATTGACTCTTTGATATTGACTCTTCAGGTGTAGCCTGCATTTCTCGTCTGACGTATGACTAAATTTTTATTTTGTTACATACTTTATAATTATTCGAACGGCATACTATTATTAGAGTGAAAAAAGGGTTTGAAGAACAAGAAATTACGGCATTAGAAAAAATGCAAGATTGCGCGTGCAAGAATGTCGTTGCCGGTTCGTGTACATTACACGACAAATTCGACCAATACAATATACTATTCATTTAAAAGGTACAATTTAGAATACTTTTATCAAACAAAGAAAAAAAATGGTGCAATATAAATTCTTTCAATCCTTAGTACATTTTGAATAAGAAAAAAGAAAAAAAAAACAAATCTAAAAATTTTAGTTCAATACGAATTATTATACCGAAAGTCACTTTACATTATAATACACACTTTAATTGGATGGAAGACTTACAATAAAATAAAATTTACCAAAAAAGTTGCGCTGCTTTCATCTAAGTAAGCAAAGGATTACAAATGAGTTAAGGACTTCGCAAATGAGTAGAAAAACTGATTTATGTAGTCGGCTACTACACATAAACTTTTTAAAAAAATAACAAACGACTAAATTGTACAAAGTGAGCGTTGGGTCGGGGGCTTTGACGCATCATCAGACATTTCTTATAAAACTAACAAATAATTATGTTTCAATTGTAGTTAAAGACACTAATGTAATAATAGTACGGAATTAAAATAAGTGTAGTGACCAAAATGTCTGTTTAAAAATTATAAATAATTATTTCAATGCTAAAAATGTAATTGATAATCATTAAAATGAATGCAATAATAGTAAAACCAATAATCATAATAATGGTGATAATAATAATAATTTCGGTAGATATTAACGCACGATATAATATCTCGAGTTTTTGTCTGTTTTCCGCAATAGCGTACAAGACTTCTACTATAAGAATATAGTACCTGGCACAGGAACATGACTTGGTTAGTCATTGGCATCACAACGAAATAATGATTATAATAATAATAGTGATAATGATAATAAAAATAATAGTAATAATAATAAAAAATAATAAGAATCATAATCATAACAATAGAAATTACGATGGTCATGATACTGATAATCATAATAACAGTTAACAAAAAAATATCCTGATCGTTGCTGTAAAGAAGAAAACGAGGACTTGTCGTCGAGGTCAGGTCGTTGTCCTGAGTATTTGTGCGTTGCGCGTGTGTCATCGGGCCGAGCTCGCGGCTGGCTCTGAGCAGCCAGGGCTACGTGACACTAATTGCCGGGTTTGAGGGCTGGGGTCCTGGCTGTTCCGTCTTGGTACACTGGCCGGTAAGCTGGTTCACGCTTAATGGGTTATTGATGTCGTGTGGATTCGTTCCTACTGGATTACGATGTGGAGTGACTGGCTGTGGCTGTTGCACTGCTACAAGTGGTGGCTGCTGGGGTGGCTGGTGACTGCTGGGCCCGATAAGCACCGGTGGCGTCAGGGGACACGGGCTCGCCAAGCTCGAGGGTGAGGGTAGCACCAGCGAGGGGCTTGCCAGACTAGATAAACCGGAAAGACCACCGGGGCTACTCAATGACTCGTCATCTTCAGGCGTACCAGCTTCACCCACACTGCCTAGGTTGTCTGAGTGCTCATCTTCGGCTTCACCGTCGCCATCGGCGTCGCCATCTCCTCCCTCCCCCATGTACCTGATACATTTTTTCTTGCGCCTGCAACAATCGAAAAATTTGTTAGTCGAGTTCTCTGACATTCGACTGCTATTTTCTCGGCCTCTAATACCGCTAATAAGCATGTGTATACAATCATTGTGCATGTAGATGTATAAACATGCTAATTTCATTAGTATACTCGGCTGAGTGTTCACGCTAAAGTCAACCTAGTTGATACACATGTATAAAAACATAAGGAAAATTGTTTAAAACAAAACAAAAAAAAAACAACATCAACGATAACAACAACAACAACAATTGCAACAACAACAAAATACAACAATAACAACAACAACAAAACAAAACTGACGTACTATGCATACTGACTCAAGAGAGGTTATCGAGCACATCTATCAATAAACAATTATCTAAATGTTGAGATTGGCAAGATAGGGCCTGCAATACCACCCAGTATAACTTTTTGTAAAGTAGTGAGTTTTTTAAATAGGGAAATAGAACTCTAGTCCTGTTGATTCGGAGTATCTTAAATGAAGCTCTATATGTTGCCAAACCCAATGGATTATACGTACGTGCACTTATCTATATAAATAAAATTTTCTAATGTTTTTTTTTTTTTTTTTTTTTTTTTTTTTTTTTTTTTTTTTTTTAATAAACCTTTTTTTTTTTCATTCCCTCCCCGAAAGGGGGGGGGTCCAAAANAAGGATGATTCTTGAAGGTGCAAGGAGTCTTTTCCCAAAATTTTAGACCTCGTCACCACCAAAATTGTTGAAAAAAACTAACTGGAAAATAGACTCTGTAACATAGCCTCTTATGGAGGGTCGTCAAATTGGTGGCGCAGGTTGTATGATTTTTAACCGTTATTTCACTGCATGTATAATACGTTGCATAAAATTCTGCAGTAAAGTTTTGATTCACCAATCGAGGTGATGCTCGCCTCAACTATTAATTGCCCGAAATCGGGAGATGTCTGTTTATATCGGGCAAGAAACTTTTCTTTGGAAACAAGGATGTTAGGTAAAGCTGTACAGCTATATACACTCTGACCGGTTGACTGTAAAGTTCTACTTTGGAATCGTGTGCAGAGTGTATATACGCAACTTTATATAATAATAAGGATTACTCATTGACCAGGTAGAAATCTCCTAATAAAAAAGCGTTATTGTTTAGAAGTGTTATTAAAGAGTTATAAAAATCATACATTAATGTGTGCGGTTATTCATTTTTTTTTTTTTTTTTTTTTTTCAATAGACTCCTATTATAATGTACCAATCATTTGATCACACCCTTAATATATTATTAGATGATGTATTTTTTTGTCAATTATTCAAATAATATATTTTTACAATAACAATATATTCATGTGGTGATACTTAACATAATTGTTTTAGTGCTTATTCGTAGTGCAATAATTTATTGACTAAATTTTTATTTTGTTACATACTTTATAATTATTCGAACGGCATACTATTATTAGAGTGAAAAAAGGGTTTGAAGAACAAGAAATTACGGCATTAGAAAAAATGCAAGATTGCGCGTGCAAGAATGTCGTTGCCGGTTCGTGTACATTACACGACNATTATTAGATGATGTATTTTTTTGTCAATTATTCAAATAATATATTTTTACAATAACAATATATTCATGTGGTTATTCTTAACATAATTGTTTTAGTGCTTATTCGTAGTGCAATAATTTATTAACGTTTAATGGACATAGTTCTTACAGCAGAGATGAGTAGACTCTCTACTTATCTCTGTCTTACAGCTTTTGAATTTTAGCTTAGTTTTTTGTACGAAAATTCAGCCCAAAAGAATAAGTAATAGGACTGGGTGAAATACCTTACAGAGGTTGCATCCTCATATTACCGTGAGACTCGCGGAACTAAAAGGGAGCTTTCCGAAATTCACGAGTGTGAGGTATCGGTGTGGCGCTAGCTGCGTGACACAGCTTGTGGCGCTTTCGTACACTTGAAAGTTTTGTAACACTTCCTTCTATAGTTACACGAGTCTTGCAACAGCAGCGGAATAGGTACATCTAAAGATCCACACGACAGTCGTATTGATACTGATAAAAAAACCTTCCTGTCAGCTTCTTTATATCTCTAACGTTAGTATAATTTGTTTATTAACATATCTAAGTTAGTTTCTGAGTTATTAGAAAGTACAGTCAAACTTGTTTCTTGTAGATCTTTAAAAAGCGTAGTTAAATAGGTTTCCAGTAATTAAAACCGAATTAGGAGATGAAGTATCCATTAATTTCAAGTTACCACCAGAGTAATTACGGTTTGCCACACCCTACAAACGTGCTGCTGTACACCTTGAGTTTTGTATTCAAAGAGAACGACAATATTTTTCTGTTATACTTCATTCAGGCTTCGTAAAGAAAAAATATTGACGGTTGCTAGTATGTATGAAAAGTGATGAAATCATTTGAGAAAAAAATTTTTACTGGCGAAAACTTTTTAGTGACGTTTTGTACGAATCAAAAGCGACATGTACGTCCTGTTTAAAAAAATATTTTTACTTTAAAGTTATTTACTGTGATACATTATTTATTTTAAATTTGTAAAATATAGTAGCAATTTAAAGTCTTGTGTAAAATAGACGTCGATGATGCCAGAGATAGAAAAAATAATCCAAAAAAATTATTTTTACTTCGCCTATTTCAAAGTCTTTGCTTTTATGTTTAGACATAGTAAAAGTTCTTGTATTTAAGACCACCAACTCGAACCAAAATGAAATCATCATCCTCTACTGTGTTCACGCATCAGGTTTCAATTGACAATGTACATCCTTCGTCCAAATTAATACAAAAATCTAGCAGCAAAGCAACTGAATTATTTTAAAACTCTGATGGTAACGTCAAAAACATTAATTCTTATACGACCGCATGGATTTGTCAGGAAAAGAAAGCGAGTGGAAAATAGACTCTGTCTCCTATTGATAAGCAGTCCCTATGAATATTTATAAATAAATATTTTGTCCCTACACTAAAACATTGTTTACCAAATTAAAGTACATTTATTTTCTACAATGTTAAACTTACTTCTTTATTTTAATGGTCTGTACCATGATATTCAACAGAAACCAATTCGATTATGTTTCAAAATTCCCGAGGAACTCCTTCGTCTATGCTTTCTAATGACTCGGAAACCATTTTAACTAAGATTTTTAATAATCTAGGACACAATTTATCAATAGCTTGTGAGAGTACCAGTAAGAAGTCGAATTTATAATAGGCCTTTTAATGGGCTAATTCTACTAAATTTATAGCTTTTTTTACTGCCTGCTGGTAGAGTGATCCTCATTATGCGCAGTTATGAGACATAAGTAAAGGGATACAGCAGTGTCATTATAATACAAAAATATTTAATAATACACAATACAGTAATAAAGTAGCTAAAAATAACAATAAACATAGAAATTTATAATATTGACGAGAAAAAAAATTATAATTATGTTCATCATCAAGGGATTCACTGCAAACAAAAAAAAGGCATGCTCAATAAACGGGTAGGGAGAAAACTTGAAACGTTAGTTAAAATTGGGAAAACGTTTTAAATAATTATACGTATAGTCTTGGCCGATAATAAAAATGTAACAGAATTAAGTATGTCGAAAAACCTTGAGGGTAGTCCACGTAAAATTGAAGTTTCCTGCCTTATGGACGGGATCATTGTTACTTTTTAGTCTTATAATTATTTATGAAATAACTAGCAATTTTGTTAGAAAAAAAAGTTTTGACACACATTCTCTACATTTCTAACAATAAGGCCCAGACTCGGCGAGATAAATTGAAAATTCGATAAAAAAGACGTTAGATTAAGTGTCAAAAGAACGATGCATGATCTGATTTTTCTTCTTTCATGTCCAAATCACAATTAATCTCACTAAAATCAGACTTTATTATATTTTTGAGGTGGCTCCTCACTAAATCAAAACACTGGAGTATTAAATAATATTTTAAAGGATGATTCTTGAAGGTGCAAGGAGTCTTTTCCCAAAATTTTAGACCTCGTCACCACCAAAATTGTTGAAAAAAACTAACTGGAAAATAGACTCTGTAACATAGCCTCTTATGGAGGGTCGTCAAATTGGTGGCGCAGGTTGTATGATATCTCAGCAAAGATACTGTAGTTCTTAATAGAAAACTATGTAGCAGATAGAAGAAATCAGAATCTTTCCAACAACATTCAGGTACTTGGACATTACCATGGGTTTTATAGGGTATTTTGTGAAAATAGTAGATAACTGCAAGTCACGGAACAGATGAAAAGTGTGGGGCGTCTGCTACACCGAAGAGCGGTAGCCCGCGTAGTTTGAATTGGTCAGAAAGTTGTACGTAAAATGAATAGGAGTTGTGGGGAATCGTAATTACAATAAAAATAAATGAGACGCTGAACTAAGAAAATAATTTAATGCGGGGCTGACTTATGTACTTTTTTGACTAATAGAAGGGTTATGTTGTCAGATTTGTATACATACATACGTCTGCTCGGGTCACTGTATTGTACGATATAGGTCAACGGTGTAGATGTGACTAAACTTTTTTTAAAGGGACTATAGGTGCCTATCCATTTTTAGTCAAGAACCTCCACAGCCAATGAAAAGCTGTGTTGCAGTATGCTTACTCTTTTTGTGGGATTTATAGTGAGGAGCTACCTTAAGAGCATCAATAATGTTTTACGAATTTTTTTTTTCAATAAATTGCATCAAAAAAAGGTTATTATAAATATTATGTCGCTTCCTGTTGATTTCTCCACTTAGTTTACATAAGATATATCACCTTCTTACCCTACTGATCTTTAACTAATTACTTTTACTTACTGTAAATAATTTTTCTGCTCATTCTTACGCAAATAAAAGGATTATCAGATCATGCATCATTCGTTTGACATCTGATTTTACGTCTTTCTCCTTCAATTTTCAATTAATCTCGCCGAGTCTGGGCTTTAATTATTCTTACATATGTCAAGAGTTCGCGTCAACTCCTATTTTTCTCATAAAATAGCTAGTTATTTTATAATGTTTATAGGCTG